GCTATACTATTTTAAAAAATTTCCTTCAGCTCTGCTTGCTTTGGTCTGTAGTTCTTGTGTTTTTCCAGTTTCAAAAATGGAAGCTCAGGAAGTAATATTTTTCTGTCTTTTTTGCATACACATTTGAAGGTCTAAAATTTTTTTGAAGCGTTAATGTAGTGGTACAGATAAATTTTAAGTTATCTTTGTTTCATTCATTTAAAAATACTCTTAGGCCCTCCCTGGTGGCGCAGCGGGTTAAAGCACTGCACTAAGAAACTAAAGCCACTTCCGCATGAGTTCTATTCCCGCCTGCCCCGGAGGCGACCACATGGCGAGGCAGACCTCTCCTGACCCGCCCACTGCTCCCCTCAGCAGTGTACTTCGTCCATCTGCCTGTCCTGCTTCCTGCTCTGTCTCTGGTGAATCCTCTCACCCTCCATATCTCTGGCCTGTACCCCAGTTCTGTACGAATAAATAAGTAAATCTTTTAAAAAATACTTTTAAATGTCCCCAGAGTTTATTAGAAAAAATGTCATTTAACAAATATTTGGAGTTTTCTATGATTTCTTTCTGTTATATAATTTCAATCTTTTGAAATCTACTGAGCCTTGTTTTATGGGCCAGGAAATGGTCTAACCTAGAAAATATTCCACACATGCTTAGTATTCTGCAGTTACTGGTGAACTTTTCTATATATGTCAATTAGGTCAAGTTGATTGATGATGGTGTTAAAGTCTTTTATCTTCTTACTGGTATTCTGTCTAGTTAGTTTTTCTATCAAGATTGAGAATGAGATGTTGGAAAACTTCAATTACTATTATAGAAACTGTTTGTCTTTCACAGTTTTCGTCCCATTCATTTTGGGGAGGGTTGTTAGATAGATACACATTTATGACTGTCTTATCTCGTTGAAGTAGCAACCATTTTATCATGATATAAGGTCCCTATTTGGATTAATATGTCTTGTTTTAAAATCTTTTTTACTTCCTAAGCTTTCTTATCACTACCATTTTCACTGAAAATCTTTCCCCATTTTTTACTTCCAACCAATTTTTGTCTTTGACTCTATACTGTGTTTAAGAGGACAAACACTCGAGTGTTGTTTTTTTATCCTGACAATCTCAGTTCATTCATGATTAAGGTAATTATTTATAGGTTGGATTTACTTCTGTCTCTCCTTTTCTGCTTTCTTTTGTGACAGATTTTAGAATACCATTTTAATCACTCTTAGATGTTTTTATTTTTCAGAGTTCTTAGTTCTTTTTTTCAGAGTGCTCTAGAGATGATAATATGCATCTTAATATAAAATAATACTTAATTCCAAATAGAAACAATTCTTTAATATGCCCTTTCCTTGTCCCTCTTTTGTGTTATCATACATGTGTGTAAACATATATATGATGTATATATGTTATAAAAGTGAACACAAGTGTTACTGTTTATATAACCTATGTGGCTTATATGTTAAAATAAAACAATTATCTACAGGTCCTTACATTACCCATATATTTATTATTCACAGCATTCTTCATTTCTTATGAATTTTATTAATATCTAGAATCATTTCCTTTCAGTATGAAGGATTTCCTTTAGTATTTCTTTATTATTATTATTATTATTATTTTTACATATTTTTGTGCATTTTTCCATGGGCCTTTAGTATTTCTTATAAGATAGTCTACTAGCAGAAAATTCAATCTTTGCTTTCCTGGGAATAGTATATTTAGATGTTTCTTTTGGAATACTAGATTTACTACCTTATGTATCATAAGTCGTTTTCTTCTTCTCTCTTTCAAGATTTTCTCTTTTCCTTTGGTTTTTAACAATTCAACTATGATGGATCGATGTGTGGCTCTCTTTGTATTTCCCTACACAGTATTTGTTGAGTTTCTTGCTATTTAACACATATGGTAAGTTTTCTCCCATTACTTCAATTTTTTAAAAAGATCTTATTTATTTATGCATACAGAACTGGGGTACAGGCCAGAGGTGCAGGGGCAGTGAGAGGATTCACCAGAGACAGAGGGGGCAGCAGAACAGGCAGACTGACAAAATACATTGCTGAGGGGAGCAGCGGGTGGATCAGGAGAGGTCTGCCGTGCCCTGTGGATCACCTCCGGGGCTGGAGATTGAACTCACACTGAAGCGGCCACAGCCAGCTTGCAGTGTTGTGTTTCAACCTGCTGAGCCACCAGGGAGGGCCTGCTTCAAATATTTTTAAAGTCACTTTTTCTCTTCTCTCCTAGGTTTCCACAATTATGTGAGTGTGTATTTTCCCACAGGTCTCTGAGGCTCTTTTGACTTTTTGTTAATATTTCCCCCTCTTTTCATCATGGTATACAAATGCTATTGACCTATATTCAAATACACTGCTTCTTATGCCATCTTAAATTTGTGATTTAGTCCACATAGATGATTTTTAATTCTATTACTATACCTCTCAACTGTAGAGGTTTGTGTCATATTAATAATGACTATCTCTTTGTGGAAATTCTTTATTCATAAAGTCACTGTTGTCCTACTTCCCTTTAATACTTTAAGCATGGTTTCCTTTAGTTCTCTGAATATACTTATAGCTGCTTTGATGTTTTTGTCTGCTAACACCAACATATGGAGACACTTTAGTTTCTACTGACTTTTTTTCTAGAGTGTGACATATTTTGTTTCTTTGTGTATCACTATATTTTTTGTTGAATGTTGGACATCTCTAGACTTTTATTATCCTTGAGAGATGCTGCTTCTCTGTGTTTTAGTAACTTGATAAATTCAAAAGTCTTTTTCCTGCAGTATGTGGCCACAATGTCTCTACTCCATTATTTTTCTCCTCATTTTTCTTTTTCTCTTTTCTTTCTAATGCTGGCTTTTTAGGACCTTTTAATCTGGTTTCCAGTGTTCACCTTAGTGTGAACTGATGAAAGACATCAGTTATTATTCAGCATCTCAGTCAAGTAAAGTTTCCACATGAATAGGATGGAATTTGTATGTGGAAAGAAGCGAGCATTGACAGTTTAGGTTTTTTTAAAGTTGACCTCAGATTTTATTACCATTAACCCATTTCAATTTTTTTTTTAAAGATTTATTTATTTGTTCATACAGAATTGGGGTACAGGCTAGAGGCTCAGGGGTGGTGAGAGGCTTCACCAGAGACAGAGTGGGGAGCAGAACAGGAAGATCGATGAAGTACACTGCTGAGGGGAGCAGCGGGAGGGTCAGGAGAGGTCTGCCACGCCATGTGGTCACCTTCGGGGCAGATGGGAATCGAACTCACGCAGAAGTGGCTTTAGCTTCTCAGTGCTGTGCTTTAACCCACTGCACCACCAGGGAGGGCCTAACCCATTTCAATTTTATACATATCCACAGCTTCCAGTCAACTTGGAATATGTGGTTAATTTATATCAAGCTCCTATGACTAGCTTAACTCCTAGAAGTCTATAAAATTCTGCTGCTCCATGAGTCTACTGCCTTCCCCATATTCGACTCCAACCTCAGACTAGAGAAGCCACCGGCTCTCTCTGTTCATCTGCAAGTAAGATCACTATTTTAATCTACAACACTCCCTATTAAGTGCTTTCACTACAGTGGGGGTAGCAAAACTTCTGGTTTTCAAGGCCACCCCATAATGTTATGGCAACAAAGTTGGGGGTAAGGGAATGAGAGAGGAGAAGCAACATATTGGAACAACACAAATTTCAGTTATATTTACCTGAAGTCTAGCAAATTTAATGAATACATCATCACAATTCATTTGGTTGACTTGCAGAACACTGCATTATTTGTTTTGACAGTTCTGTTCAGCTTTATGGTTACTTTGTGTAATCATATCTCTCACTCAGTCCTGCCAGTGATTTCTTTTTTTAATTGTGAATATCATGTGTCGCTATAGTCTAAAGCTGAATTATAACTGAGATTACTTGCAGCTCTTGCAGAGATAAAAACTGCTATGTCACTTTCCTATTCATATTCTATGTATTATAATTAGCTTTTTTACACTAGACTAACATTGTTTACACTAGACTAGCATGTTAGTCTACTGTCTACACTGCACATGTTAGTCTAGTGTAAAAGCGTAAAAGTTATTTTGAGGAAAAATTTGCATATATATGTTTATATGCAGGGTAAAAAGGAATTGAGGATTTCTCTACATCAACAGTATAAAGAAACTTCTAAAAATGCAATAGTCACAGGAAGCACAGCATATAAGAGACACTGATAATCTATACCATAGCAAATGAAACTAAGGGGAAACTATATGTTAAAAAAAAAACCCAAGAGAAGTGTCATTGTTCACCCTAGAGAAATATGACATATCCCCACACTCTCAAATACTTAAATTAGACTTAATATTGATGCAGAGTGCAGAATCAAAACCAAAGGTTATAACTTTGAGTTCAATATTTAAAAAAACAATTTAACAACTTAAGCTAAACCAACTGAACTTAATTTGATTCTCTTGCAAGGTGGTGAGCTTTTCTCAATGAGAATGCTCATGACAACCAGATAAGCTCAACTCTAAATTACTGTAACTTATAGTAACAAAAAGGCAAGAATTAAGATGAAAGCAGATTTTACTGTGGAAAGTGTTAACCTAAAATATAAAGACTATCATAACTTGCATTGTTCATAATACAAGCTGTTTAAATGACATTGATTCCATTGTATTATTAGGTGCGTTAGATATCACTAACAGGTTATTAGCAACAAGAAGCACTACTCTATCATAATAAAAAGATATCATTTACTTAGTTCTGTAACAGTAAGTCAAAAAAAGATTATTACATAAAATCAGACTTCATTCTGGAAAAAAACAAAAGCTGGGTGGGCGAACAAATGTTCACAAAGGACATAAAGAACTCAAATAAGGTAAACTTGCTTATTCACCAAAATCTAGAAACCAACTCTTTAATTCTGACAGAGGTTAAGGTTAGCACAAATAAAGGAAGTAATAGTAAGTTGAGAAATCAGCAAAATAACTTGCTGGGACTCACACAGGTTACAGACTGGAAACAGAAGTAACTTACCTCTTTTAGCTGATCAGCACTGCCCCATGATGCAGAACGCTGATGTGATCTCTTCTCAGCTCCCTCCTCTGCCCAACAGCTAGGTGTCTTAAAAAAAAAAAACAAAAAACAACCAAATAAAAAGGATTGTGATTTCTACTCCCTGATCTCACAGTAACACAAACTGTTTCAAAATTTTAGCACATACCAGGTAAGAGGATGTACTAGATACGATACTAAAATCCCTCACCTGAAAGATTTTGTGACCCTATGAAATATTTAAAACATTCTGTTTTATTCTGAATTAAGTATGAGAAATCTAACACATCTCTAAGTAATGTTGCTCAAGACATTTCAGTTTTCATACCAACATTATTAATAACAAAGTTAAAAGGAACTGTGAAGATATGAATGATTTCTCTTTTTAAAGAGACAAGTCATATTAAACATGAAATGGTACTTCTACTAAATACTACAAATGGAAGTAAGATTAACAGAACAGAAATTACCAGAAATACTGGGATTTAGATTATCTACAGCTCAAACATCTAGCCAGAGGGCTGACTATACTATTCCTCTTCTACTGAGGAAAGACAGTCTAAGAGTAAAGTATCCTTTCTTGAAAAAAAAACAAAAAACAAATATCTTTATATGCAAATAGAAAGTTATTAGAAAAAGATAAAAGAAAATCTAACATGCATAAACTGATTAAACTGCAGTAATGTGTTTTTTTGGCAAAAAACAGCTACATCTCAGAGTATAGAATATTTTTTACATAGAACCTCATTTTCTATAATTTAACCATTATAAACATTATACCCAAATGCAATACAAAACACTGAACTCTATATGGTGAGATCATTTAGTAGCTGTATTAAAGATCAAACATTATTAATATATCATCCATTATTTATGAAAAGACTCAGTATCATACAAATTAGAAAGTGTAAACAAACACTGCTTAAGGAAAACTAAATGACAATGACTATAATAATATAAATATATACCGCTTTAAAAATTATTTGCTAGATACTGAAACATCTCACTTGTGGTTGCACCTGTAACTTGATATAATATACAGCTTCTTATGAAGAAGCTGCAATTTATACATATATTCAAAAATACTGTGTGGATAACTTTTAAAATAATTACCATTTTAAAAAGTAATGATTCTCCAAAGTGAAACCTGCAATAAATACTAGTTGCATCAAACTACTAAGTAATTCAAATACTAAAAAAAAGAAGCTGTTAGGCATGATTGAGAGAGTAATTGGCAAGTGTAAGGATAAGAGGTATCAATATTTTAAACAACTTGCTTACCAAGACCTATTTGGATGTTAAAACTTCCAAAAGTATAGTACTAGTATAGTACAAACAAACTACTCTGAACTAATTTAGGCCCCACCACATAGTTATAATGTAGTCAATTTATTCTAAACTTAATCAATTATGACTGTTTATCTTTTTTTAAGATTGATTTATTTATGCATACAGAACTGGGGTACAGGCCAGAGGTGCAGGGGCAGTAAAAGGATTCACCGGAGACAGAGTGGGGAGCAGAACAGGCAGACTGATGAAGTACACTGCTGAGGGGAGCAGAGGGTGGGTCAGGAGAGGTCTGCTGTGGCATGTGGATCACCTCCAGGGCGGGGATCAAACCCTTGCCGAAGTGGCTTTAGCTTCTCAGTGCTGTGCTGTAACCCACTGTGCCACCAGTAAGGGCCCACGTCTGTTTATCTTAGTCAAATTTTTACTTGAAGAATTATACACCTTAGTAGTTTCACCTTTCTACCATTACTCTACCTTTCTATCATTACTCTCATCAAAAATCAAGTGATTTAAAGATGATACTGTTTAAAATACAACAGTAAATTCATAGTAGAAGAGTCTAATTTTTGACCTGCTCCATAGTTACACTACTCTAACTTTTGGATAGCTCTAACTTTTTCAAAGGAATTTACATAAAATCCAATGTAGACATTAATCAATGACACAAACTTTTTGCAACTGTCTTAATACTGCCAACTATACCACAATAGAGCCACTTCAGCAAGAGTTTAACCCCCTCCCTGGAGGTGATCCACATGGTGTGGAAGAAATGTGAGGTCTCTTACCTTACAGATATCTTTTTTCATATTATCATTCATTTCCTTAAAATTGAAAATGAAGACCTACTTGAATATTTCAGAGTACAGTATGGAATATACAAAGAAGTAAAATAAATAGAATAGTGACAAAAGAAGTAAAACAATTAGAATATTGATGTTTGTTAAATTTGGTTAGTAAAGTACAGAGTTTTTGAAAAGTTTAAAACCACGGAAGGGTACTCTCAATTATGAGGCTACAGAACTACACACACAAAAGCCATTTAAGTATATTTATCACAATCTCAACTTTTCCAAACTATTTCTCTTTCAGGAAGGAAAAATATTATTTTAATCACGTTACTTTAAAATAAGTAGCATGTTGCAGAATGTAGGCTATTAGATGGGGAGGGGAGTTAGAGGTGGGAACAAAGCGGGGGGGGAGGGGACCCACTGGTCAAGGTTAAATAAGTATAGGTACTCTGATGACAGGGTATGTGGTAACATATCTGAGAAAGTATGATTAGATTCCCCTAAACATATATAGTGTTGTAACTAAAGTTTCCTCAGTAAAGAAAAAAAAACAAAACAAAACTATTTTGTAGTATGAAAATTGCTCTAATTTATAAACACGATCTGTAGACTGCATTGTCCAATATAATAGTTCTAGCAACATGCAATAATTTAATGAAAATTAAATGAAACTAAAAGTTCAGATAGTGATGTTAACATCTCTAATACGCAATAACAATGAAAAGGCTAGTGGCTACTAATAGGTCAGCAGAAATAGGAACATTTCCATTGTTGCACAAGGTTCTGAGAGTAGAGTGCTATATCTTTTTTTAACAAGTTATTTTAGCTAAAGCCAAAATAAAAGATAGTTACCTGGTTTTTATCAAATCTATTTAAAGCTTATGCAAGACGAACTAATTTGAATCTAGCTTGTTAAATGTGAGTATTGGAGGCATGTTTTACCCATTGAATTATGGAAACAACTCAAAGTAACAAAGTTCTTCTCTTTCATTTCCATAATCAATTTCTTCCAACTAGCCAGTTATTCTGTTCATTAGGCTAGAACTGCTACTGGATGTTAGTAAGAATATATGACAGATGGGTTCCACAGTCAAATAAATTCTGGAAATATTATATATTATTACATTTCCCTATTAAACTTGTAAGGCAACTAATATTTCAAAGACACACACAAACTTTTTTAAAAGTCTTTATTTCCTTTCTCTAAATACACGACACTGAACACCTATTTCAGAAGTACATTTATTAATATCCTGCAGAACACTACTCCCCACAAAGTTTGGAAAGAAATATAATCCCAAATAAGTTGTATTGTATACAACAGGCTGTTCTTTAGTCACCATAGTTTAGAGAATTCTATCTTTCTAGGGATCTCCAATTACACTATAAGGGAAAAGAAAATAAACCTCTTATATATACTTCAGCAAAGCACAACCAAAAATTGGATAGCTTTAAAAGAAATTTTTTTATCTCTCAGTATTACGCAAAGTTCAACTTGTAAGTCCCAAGTTCATTTTGCTACCTTTAGTTACCTGTGGAAAGATCTCTTTTCAATGAAACACACAGGAAACAGTCCTGCTGCATATTATTTTTTAAGTATATATTTTAAAAAAAGATTTATTTATTTATGCATACAGAACTGGGGTACAGGCCAGAGGTGCAGGATTCATCAGAGATAGAGTGGGCCGACTAAGTACACTGCTGAGGGGAGCAGTGGGTGGACCAGGAGAGGTCTGCCACACCATGTGGATGGATCACCTCCGGGCTGGGGATCGAACTCATGTGGAAGTGGCTTTAGCTTCTTAGTGCTGTGCTTTAACCTGCTGTATCACCTGAGTGGGCCCCATAAGTCTATTTTTTTAAGAGTATTTTTAGGTTAACTGCAAAACTGAAAGAAAAGTCCAGAGATTTCTTGTATACTCCTTGTTTCCACAAATGCACAGCCTCTGGCATATCAGTATCCACAGAATGGTACCTTTGGTATATACATGTTGTAATAATGAACCTGCACTGACACACCATTATCACCCAATGTCCCTATGTTAAAATGGTTCCACTACTGCTGTTGTCCGTTCTATGGGTCAAGACAAATATGGCTTGTTTCCATAATTATAGTATCAGAGTATTTTCACTTCCTTAAAAACCCTCTGGGCTCTTCTATTCCTGCCGATCCTGCAAATCCTAACAACCAAAGATTTTTTTTTAACCATTGCCATAGTTTCACCTTTTTCAGAATGTCATTCAGTTGGAGTTATACAGTATGGAGTGATATCAGATCTGCAACTCTCAGTAATGTGCATTTATGTTTACTCTGTGTGTTTTCATAGCTTGATAGATCATTTATTTTTAGTGCTGACCTATCACTGCCTGGTTGACTCACACTTTATTCATCCATTTACCTACTGGAGGACATTATGGTGTTTTAAACTTTTGGCAATTGTGAAAGAAAGCTGCTATAAATATCTGTGCATGAGTTTTTCTATAGATATGTTTTTCACTTTGAGTAAATATTAACAATCATGAATGTTGGCCTGTAGGATAAGAGTGTTTTAGGTTTTATAAGAAGTCAAAAGGCTTGCAAAGTGGCTGCAGCATTTTGAATTCCTACCAGCAATAAATGAGCGTTGCTGCCACTCTGCATCTTGGTCACCTTTGACGCTGTCCATTTTCTGAACTTCAGCCATTCCATTACTGTATGGTAGTAGCTCACTATTATTTTAATTTAGATTTCCCTGATGACATATGATGCAGAGCATTATTTCATATGCTTATTGCCCTTTTCTGTTAAGATCTCTGTCTCGTTTTTAAAGGCAGTTTATTACCTTATTGTTGAGTTTTAAGGTTCTTTGTTTATCTTGGGCAACAGGTCAGATGGGTATTCTTGTTATTTATATTTTCATTCACAAACTAGTCAGGGCAAATATGCTTTCCTGCTTTGTCAATTTCAAAACAGCTCAAAGTAATTCCTAGCAAGAAAATAATCTTTAGATA